GTAAGTATTTATTTACATGTAAATCAAAAACCATTTTGTTCGTATTTTTTATTAGTTTCTTTTTTCAAAAAATCATTTTTTTTATTTCACATAGGCAATATAAGTAACAACTATTACATAATTTTTTACAAACTTTATATAGATAATGTGATAAGGATGACGGTGCTGATCTGCTCCGTGAAGTGAAGGTTGCTTCCAATCACGTCGGGGTCACCACTAAAATAATAATAAAAAAATAATCTAAATAAATGTTACATTACACTTGCATCGATATTAATCGATAAATATGTAACTTGACCACATCACTATTTGAGTAGCGTAGAACTGGCGAGAATGTTCTATTGAATGGAATAAATCCAAAATAAACTTTATCTTGAAGGCGTAAGGTTAATTTTGACTAACCGTTTTAGTAAATAATATTATTTTAATAACCGTTTTTGTAAATTGAAATAAAATAAGATTTTAACAAGAAAACAATAAAAATTGTACTTACCGATGATACGAAACACCTCCATTTTTACGATTTTTCGGCTGCTATCATTTTTACACGCCAAAACGGAACAAAACGGCATAGTTGAGGAAATAATATGTATTTGTCACGAGACTAGCAACTCGACGCCATGTTCGAACGAGACTGAACTCGAATTTGCCTCGAGTAAGCTGTACACTGCTCAGTTGTGGCACGCGTGGCACGCCTACTTGCTACTTCCATTGTATTCTATATTCCGTGATACATACACATTAATAATGTGTTGCGCTGTGTAAGTGAGGTTACCTAAGCCCTAACTGTGGAGTGGGAATCTCTAAACCCTCAAACGGTCGCGGGCCTGCGGACGGCAAGCATGCATGGCTCGCCGCCCGACCAGAACCAGACCCAAGCGTACGGCGCCGGGCGTTCCGCGCGCGCCTCAAAAAGCCATCAGACCATCACAGATGGGGCCCAACAGGGCTGATGCCGATACGGAGTCGCGGAGAACCTAACGGGTTACCGGGGTTCCGGTTCGAAGAGCAGGAGTAGGAACGGGGTCGGTTTTGGTCCATAAGAGTCTGACACTCCCTCCCGCCTCACCCAGGCGGGAGTAGTCATTCGATGATTTTCCCCCCTTAAAAAAACCCCCAAAAGGTCGGCCAGACACTTAACTCCTCTGCTATTTCGGCGACACGTAATGCTACCCATCAAAGAAAAGGGACGTGCAATAAGATGATCTTTTATTCCTACAAAAGATAGATACTCTCTTCACTATGAAAGGTTCCTCTAAAACACTATGATTTTTACAATAAAAATTACACTTTTTGTTTTTTTTTTTTTGGACAAGGTCCCAAATCAGCTGCAACTCCTCGGCACCTGTCTAAAATCAAATATTTCTCGATTATCTTTATGCAATTCAAGATATGCAATGGGCCTTATCCTTAATTATACCTTCGTCACTAATCTTATCTCAAGGATATTCAAAAATCCCTATATAACAAGTATATCAGTACTATTCAAAAGTGAATCATTCACAATCTATAATCTATATCTGATAAATCGTATCGCAATGTATTTAAATCGGAGATAACATTTTTGTATAATCTTGGAATGACTCAGTAAGAAGCTAATTTAATTAGGAGCAAGGTGCAAGTTCATAACACTTTTCAATGATAAAGGTATTTATAATCTTTTTCTTTTCTCTTTCAGCTGGTTTACAACTTACTGGATTTATGCATCATGGAGCTATTCCCTGAACTCGGCGCCATAGACAAGAATCCATCCAAAGAATCAAAGAGTTGAGGATGTATATTAATCTTTCCCGGCAAGACGTAATTTATTTTATAAATAAAAACTCAAATAGGCATTTTGTAAATCGCCAAAAATACGCACGGTTGTCTGATGTAATGATGTTTAGTTAATTTATACGCAACTTATTGTGTAATTGTAAATAATTGTATTGTATAATAATGAATCTATTTTTATAATATTAGTTATTGAAGCAATATTCGTTCACTTGACCCCTCGAGGTTGTAATCGAAAGACCACAGAGTATTTTTAAATGTTTTCAGTGTAGACAAACACCAGAAATAAATTATTTTGATAAATTATCATTGTTTTACTTTTATTTATAAGATTTTTGATGCCCTTTATTCTAAAAGGTAACAGACCATGCAGCGTCAGCGTATCAAGTAGTGTTTGGCCATTAAACTGGGATTGCATCTAAAGTACTCTTTCTATACAAGAACAATTATACTGTATCAGCTGCAGTTGCAAAGGGGAAAGATTCAGCTCGCATCAAAGTAATATTATTGAATAACACGTTTCCGAACGTTACACCACATTGACAAGCGTCATCAGTTTCTGAACGTCAGACGTAAACAATCCAATGTTGCCAGTTTATTAAATTTTACAAGAGTCATGGGTATTTTTACCCCAAATCTCTAGAAATCACAAATAATAAAAAGTTATCTGTTAATTACTTCTACAATTGATATATGTTACTAAAGTATAACCTTGAAACATCTTGTAATAAAAAATGAAGAAGTTATTAGTCCAGGAAAAGACTTATTAGAATATACCTACTACAATAATACACAGTTGAATTATGATTATCGATTAATTGAAATAGTGTTTTAGTTTGTATTAAAGGTTTGTTGTGTTGTGTGTTGTTGTGTAATCAATAAAAAAATAACATACTAAATTACTAAAACAATGTTTCTTAATCTCACAACACTCCACTGATTTTAAGTATGGTGGGAAAATAAAAAACAATGCTAGCAATACTGGTTATGTTATGTCAGTCTTAATTTACAGTGGAAAGTAAAAGGCGATGGGTGTGTTGCTTTGTGTTTATTTCTTGTTTTAGATAGAAACGAATGAATAAGTTAAAAACAAATTTAGTGTTAAGTTTATCAAAATAATTTAAAGTCATCAGTTTGATAATCACGCCATTGTAAATATCTGCATACCATACAAATTCTTGTTTTGATTTGGTCAATGGTTGTGTTACTGATTGTAGTTAAAACAAAATATGAAACAATTGAATAAATTAGTTAGTGTAATGTTTGTGTTAAGTGATGTCCCATGTTTAGAGGTGTATAGTAAACACGCGTGAGCTTGATTGACTGATTAAAGTTTACAATAATGGCTTTCGTAAATAATTATTGTGTATATAAACATGGATATGAACTTTGATTGTGTTGGTGTTCGAATTTCGAAATCACGATGTCGTCGTCGCCGTGCCAAAAAGGCGGGATGCGCCTCAGTGAAGCGTTGGATAATATGCAGCTTGCGTACAACCCGATAACTAAGCAATTGCATTTTGTGAGTCCTAAAGTGGAAAAACAGGTTGAGGATACGTCTGATGACATTGATAAGCTGTCAAAGAAGAGCAGTTTCAGTGATGAAGGCAATTTTTCTATATCAACTTGTGAGAAAAGTGATACAAGTGATTCCCCGAAGAGTACTCTGCAGTGGGGTAGTGTGAGTGGTCACCACCGAGGCAAGGATGGTGGTTCCTTCTCAAGTACAGTCTCCAGTCTGTCTGAGTGTTCTCTTGGGTCTGCTGCCTCCAAGGACGATGAAGTTTCCGATGTAACTTCACATGACCAGGAGCAGTCTAAACTGAAGAAGAAGGGATTGTCCGGGTTTTTCAGCAGGTAAGTCCATGTTATTACTTAATTCTATAATTAAACAAAGTTTAGTAGTTAATAGGATTAATAGTGGGAAATTTTCCTCTTTCCAAATAGAAAACACTTTGTTTTGATTGTTTCAATTTACCAAATTATTATTATTTTCTGATGATGTGTAAATCGAAAACATACCATGACTCATTCCATTCATTCCTACCGCATGTGTGATAACACTTCTTTGAAGGAAATCAGACTCAAAACTCTATGCAAGAAAGTTCATAATCCACTATCATTAGTGTTGTTATTTTTTTATTCATAATCCTAATGGCATTTGCGGTGGTCAGAGGAAATTATTTGTTAAATACAAATGAGATTAACATTCTCTTCATGCCAGTATGTATTTATATGGACAATATCGCTTGACATGGTTTACTGTTATAACATTAGGAAGTGTTTAGTTGCATTTATCTAATTAGAATAAAATATGCTGTCAAACAGAAATATGTAACGACTACTAAATAACTGGGTTAAAATCCATAATCTTTACATAATATATATTTCTACTAAGTTAAAACTTCAATTAATTCTGTCTAATAGCAATTCCAATTATTTCAAATAGGTTTTAAACATTACAAATAATAATAAAATTGTGTAGATTATTTCTATTATCCCTAATATTTATAATCCCAATTGGTACCTAAATGTGAACAATAAACATGTTATTATAACAATTCAACATCAATTAGGTATGAATAATATAGGTACAAGGAAAATAAACAAACATAAATATAAATGATTATCCTTCTCAAATCATGTTCATGTCAAGTTGCCAGCACTGATAATGTACTTAAAATGTTGCCAGACAACATAAATATGCGCATCATACTACATTATCATAGTAAAGATATCCAAATGAGGTAAAACACAGGCAAACAAAGCCTTTTAATGTAGTCATGTCCATTCCCTTCCTCAAAAAACAGGTTCATAAAATACTGCATTGTCTTCTATTTTTGTAATACCAGGTTAAAGAAACCTCAAATTCCTACAATCTTAGCTTGCCAGTATTCTTTTGTTTATTGTCTATTGTGTTCTCTAATCAAATATCAAACAAAAAATATCTCATTTTAGTATTCACTTCTCTGTATCACCTATGAATACTGAATTGAGGACAAAGAGGTTTTATGTATGTAGTTTTGTGTCTAAACTTACTGTAGAGGATTAAAATTTACATGAATACAAAATAAAACAACCAAAGTAGTATGAGAATCATTTATTTTGAATCATATTCAAAGACAGTCATATAATTTAATATTATGTATCATAAATAGTCTTTATATTGTACTTATATATCTAAAGTCTTTGTTTTCTTCCCAGCGGGATTGTTTGTTCCGTTAAAATCGAAACTAGCCTCATGCTCTACCAAAATTAGCCTTGTCGATACCAACTAACTGGCATGAAAGATCATAAAGCTTTTCTTGATAATCTACTTTCTTAGAGAAACTGTTACTTATTCCTTCAATACAGTTACTAATGTACAATCCACCTTTTTTCTCTATATCTTTGTCAAAACAAGTATGAAGTACAGAAATGGCTCCTTTAGCAGGGGTTTTGAAAAACACTTTCATAAGCCAAGGGAACGCTTTTTTGAACATGGTGTGTTCAAACAGATCTGTATCCACAATACCAGGGTGAACCGCATAACATTTCACTGGATATCCTTCTTGTTCCATCATCTTGTTGATGTATCGAGCACTCATTAACTGTAACAAACAGAATCATCGCTTAAAATATAACTTAGAATTTAAATACCAAATCTCTAGCTAGAAACCAGTTAGAATACAGTTGTTCGATGAAAGTAGAACATTTCTTTACCTGTGCTAGTTTGGCCTGCGCATACGCCGCCGTCGTATCGTAGTGCTCCTTCATATTGATGTCATCAAAGAATATTTTCCCAGGGTAATGAGCACACGATGTCACATTCACAACCCTGGCTGCCTCGCCGATAGCGCCACCCTTTTTCAGAGCTGGCAACAACAAATGTGTCAAATAAAAGTGACCCAGATGGTTGACCGCTAATTGATTCTCAAATCCGTCTTCAGTCACATGATAGTCTCCATACATTATTCCAGCATTGTTGACAAGAAGATGAATAGTCGGGAATTTTTCCAAAACATTCTGTGCAAAATTCTTGACCGATTTCAGCGATTGCAAATCTAATGGAAATGCTATGATGTTATCACCATTCTCCATGTTATCAGCTAGTTTCTTCATAGCTTCCGGTTTCCTGACACCAGCGATGACCACCATATTTGCCTTCAGCAATCCTCGCACGACTTCGACCCCTATACCGCGAGCTCCGCCTGTGACGACCGCAATTTTCCTCTTCGCGTCTGGCAACACAATTCTGTTTCTCCTGATGTTCACCCAGTCATCAATAAGGCCACCGGCGCCTGCGCCCTGCATGTCTAGCGCGTACTTTAGTTCACTGAGGATGTGCTTCAAGGGTTTATGCCTGTTTATGTACCAATAAACAGCTGCGGCACTTGTCAGAATTACCGCTGAAGCGATTGCGAGAGACATGTTGAGGTTATGTTTTCGTCCGCTCGTCGCGACGCTACGGTTGCACTGGCAGTCGATGCTTTCACTCCGCTGGAAATCCTCAACGCTTTCTCTCGATCCGGTGTTTGTTTGGGTTTATACCGTTAGTCCTGAGGTCGCGCTACTCATTTATCATTAAATGATAGCGAATCCTCAATTTTATCTGTAACAAAACAGAGAATTAAACGTAAACACATAATGAAATACAACGCGAGCAAAAATCGTGTCGAAGCGTGTTATCGATGCGTGGCCTCCAGCTGTACTGAAAAGGATGACGCAACGCCACTACTATTGATATTAGAACAGACGGAAGTTATTGAAGTGTTAAAATATAAAACCTTAGATGTCTTATTGATTTTTTACGTTCAGCAGAAGAATAGAGCTTGAGCCAAATACCTGACTATCTCGTGCACTCCACTGGTTTCACAATAATATTTACGGAATGAAATACCATCTGTTATGCGATATGCACGGTGCACCTGACGGTACTGACTTGTTTGTTTTGCAAATTCAATCGGGGCGCATGCGCTGTACGTGCTGGTATTTATCGTTGTACCGTCCGATTTCTAATTATGGCATTAACAGGTTGCGGTGCAGTGGTTATCGCGGTTTCGTTAATATTCTTTATACTGTTGTGCTAATTTTGGCAACTTGTTGAAGAATGGTATCCGATCGACGCTTCCGATTTCCCACCGGAGTGGTTTTTCTGCAGATTTCTTCGATTGTTGTGTTCGTTCTTAGAATATTACAACCGGTTTAAGACTAGGCATGTTAAAAATGTGACGAACTCAAAACATCGCTTTATGAGCGCTTAGTACAACAGCCTTATTTAAATATTTTACGGCTTCGGCCAGATGTTTTTATAACTCAACGTTTTATGACTATCCTACAGGGCTGGATGATCGAGCTTCAGCGATGAGATATAAAAATGTGTTCCCAATTCCCGTTAAGTATTAAGGGATAGCTACCAATTTTTTTCAATACTTCTTCACCTAAAGAATTTCTTTTGTAGTCCCTATTGGTGTCGAGTTCTAAGCGACGTGAACGCGTAACGAATCTACTTCAAATAAATCGGGGTTGAAAATGTAAAGCGACCTGTTTATGTGCTCCCCTTATCCAACACCAATGCTTGACGCAGATAAAGATGGAGGCATATCGCCATCTTTTTCTAACATTCTAGCGGTACGGACTAGTTCCCGCATCGAGATTTTAATTAAGGGTCTTTGAACTACTGAATGCTGATGGTGCGTGTCGTCTACGTTATGACGCAACACGAAAACGATGTAAAAACGCAAATGCTTAATGTTTACTTAGTCCGAGTAGACTATGACGTCATTTACCGTTAGAGATTGATTTAAACAATACGGATCGTGATAGTGAAGATGAATAAATAATAGATCTTGTTAAGTAGTAACGTCAAGAGACTGTTACGAAATTAAACGCTCTATCTTAGCTCTATCTATTGATAAATCAACAATTTTAGATACTTCTGATAACTTTGAAGGTATTTTGGTGATAAGCACATCAGTCCGTTGAATTAGCGAACTAAGATCCAGAGACATTCATCGGTATTGTGCCAAAATTTAGCGTCAAGCACTTTACTATTTTAAATTAGGCCCATTTGCTAGGCACAAAAATTTAAACAAGGATAAATATAATATGAAACTTTGGTACTAACGAAGTAATGGCGAACGTGGCGTAACTACGATGTTACGGTTAGTCGATGACAAAATGCAGGTCAAATTCCAGGACAACCGCAACACAAAGACTTTGAGGGCTTTTTGTGTTACCCACAGGCACAACGCCTCACAGTGGTTGGGTTTTATAAGCACTCCAAACAGAATTGACGTTAAATAAACACAGCTTTCCCCATGCCTTCAGACATAAGATCCAAGAGATTTCAGAATATGATTGCAAACGAAACGTAAAACAATAAATAGTCCTGCCATGTTTATGCAATTAATAACGAATCTTTCGTTGAAGTCACCATTGCAGATAAAATCGATGTGTTTACAACCTGTATAAATAAAACAAGGCTTTCAAACAACTCACAAGAAAGCAGAGAATAAATTAAAAATAAAATACAAGCCCTTCGAGATCCGGTTGGAGAAACAATACGGCATTAAGCTAAAGCAAACTTGCTGCATACGTAATAACATACAATGGCCAATTCCATGCACTCGAGACTTGACCGGGGAAACCTGTTTTTCAAAGGCGCTGTGCCCATGGACTCATACTACCGCTATGCTGCTTGACCTTGGATGCTTTAAAACTTACCCTCAGCATCGCTGGTTATGTGCATCGCGAATTAAAGACATTCTTCTTTGGAGCAGCAATGAAAACAACGCATTTGGTCATTAACGAAAGCTTTTCGGTTTTGTTGTTGCGGTTTTAAACTTCCTATTAACAGGCTGCATTCAGCGCGGTGAAGCGTTTGTGCGAAAGAATGCATAGTGAGATTTAAAAGTGTTTTCGAATTAGCACTTGGTTGAAAGCATGTGCTAATGTTACAGGTTTATCGAGCAGTGAGCTCTAAGGACTCAACGCTTAGCATATGCCGCAAGACATTCGATACGTCAGATGAAACGAAAATAGAAAAAAAGGACAGGTTCTCCGAGAGCTGACATTTAAGACAAAGTAAATAAGGTTTATCGAAGGTGCCTATTCTGGGAAAAGTTTTAAAGTAACAATAAAATGGATTTAGAAGCTCCTTTTATTGTCATGGTAGCTAAAATAAAATTGGCACTCGGGAAATTGTTCCACCTTTTAAAGAATATAAAGAATGCTCTTTACTAGATGGATATGGATCGACCTAATAAAGTGCTTTATGTATGTATGGTAATGATAAAGTAACTGTTTATTGTACAGCTGGTGTTTCTAACCGGTTTTCCGGGTCATCCCTCATTAGTTACAAGGCCCTCAAATTAACGAACTGCTAAATACGGAGACCAGTTATCGTCTGTACTGTACACAGTATTGTCGTTTCGCCTTGGAGTTTTAACGGCAATGTCGTATGTATAAAAAAGTTGACATCAGCTGTTTAACCAAGGTTTCATTCATGAGCTGGTTTTTTAACTTATACGAGTGACAATATGTTGATTTTCTATGCTTTTGCTGCTAAAGTGAGAGTAGCTGCTAGCAACCTTAGCTTAGTACTACCTTATACAACATGGTTTCTCCCTGAACCTAACATATTTGGTTGGTTGGGGAATTCCAACCCGGTTTCTACAGTTTATAATATGAACTGTTGTGATAATTGAAGTTATTGTAAGAGCAAAATATGACTTTGAACTGGCGATTGACCACTCAATAAGGCTGTTTTTCGTACTATTATGCAAATGATTTATTATCTCAGTGTTGTTTTCCTGGTTTTGTTTTTGTCGTGACTGATTTAAAATCTTTTTTAACCGACTTCAAAAAAAGGAGGTTATAAAAATATTAATTTAGTCTTGTTTCGTTTACAAGATTTTAGAAATGTCAATTTGTTGTTGCTTCAATGTGATTATACATTCATTAATGCTTATCCAATATTGCTTATTGAATTTTTATACATATTCTTCGAAATGCCAATATGGCTTGCAAAACCTCAAATAAGATCATGTGAAAGTTTTCTTACTTAGGAATAATTTTGAATAGGTTATTAAATATTTATACGGCTTCTTCGACGCAGACAAGTGATTAGCTCAACGCATCGCAGGAATGTTACAAGCACCAACACCAAGCCAGTTCCCTATACACTTAACGACTAGCATGGTTCACTGATTTGAAAGAATACCTTTCTGTTCTTTTTTTAACTTAAATACGCACATCCTTCGACCACAGACTTACCAGAAAGAAATTTCATGGTTGAAGTAACATTGACAATGTTCTATTACGAGCCGGTCAACTTTATAGTTAGTTATATTTGGACTCACTGACCTCAGGACAATTTTATCGACCATTACTTAATTACGTTCTTCTAATGACTAACCGGTGGATTACCGGAATTCCATTGTCACCTGTATATTTGGCATATAATTCTACATTGTCAGTCGAGCCAGCTTTAGTGACGCCTTTGATTACGTCATTCTCTTACTCATGTTTAAATGCACGTTGCAATTATGTCACCGGTAGATTGAACTCCTTTGTCATCTTTTAAGCATACCGGAAATGGAGTATGATGATAAATGTTAAAGTAATTTTAAGTGTTGCTATTTAAAACTGGGCTAATCTGTTTGTTTACTTGTGAAACTAAACTAAACTTTGATAAGTTTTGTAGAACAAACAAATAGAACAATTGTAAGCGGTCAAAAGATGGCTTGAATATTCGTAGATTAGATAAATGTTACGCCCAAAATTCTTTCCGTATCGTTACCACATCACTTACGGTTATTGCATAGCCCCCTCTGTCTAGCCATAGGGGAGACTCATCTCCCCTCAATTCAAAGCCAAAGAAACCACTTCAAAAACAATAGGAACAAAACAGGGATATATATAGCTGTTGCCAACGCGCTATGAAAATAGTTTTTATGGGGAAAACATTGACATTCGAACTACATGCTCCCATTATCTTCGAAGAGAATAAAGGAAATATTTCCCTCATTCCTTTTATTGTTAGCCTTTATGGCAAAACAGTACCTTATCACATAGAAGAGAAAGATAAAAATTGCCGTAATTACGCTGATGAAGTAAATCGTGATAAAGGCAACGTAAACTTTCATAATGACTCAACAGATATTTATTTAGCTGGATTTGCAGTGCAATGTTTCTTTGTGGAGCCTGATTACGGCATGAAGAAAATATTTTTGAAACGGTTTAATATTCTGCATGCAGCGTTCTTGGAATTTTAAATGTGCACTGTTTGAATTTCAAATCAGAAACCGAATAGCACGAGACACAAAGGCTTTCCAATTCTTTTTTATTGAATCATAAAGTTTGAGAAGCAAAATCGAAAATATTGGATTCCATAGTCCTGGGCTAAAACTTTTAGACTTTAGTACGACTGAGTTATGATCATTTCAGCAATAAAGTTCCGAGTCCCGAAGCAGATAAAATTCAGTCTCAATATTTTCTCTAGCTGACATTACCGAATCTATAGTTATGAGAATACGAGAGAAATGGCAATAAATCATCTCTAAGTTGACTACGTAACATAAAATGATTTATAACATTAAAAGGTTTCCTATAAACATTTCCTATAGTATTATTTACTATTTATTCTTTATTATCTACTATTTTAGCTTGAAACCTCTTTCTGTTTACAAAATATTCTTAAGACTGGTTCCGAAGACGTTGATAGTCTTTATGAAGATTTAGTTAACAGATTTAATCCTAATAAAGTCCCAATTCAAGACGGAGTTCAATAATTTAGTTATGGAATTTATAATTTACATCTACATTTTGAAGAGATTATAAGGTAATTTTCTAATCCTTTTCTATCTTCCTTTAGTCAGTTTCGAGTATTGTTTTACTGTAAACATTCTCAGTAGTGTATTATAGGAAAGTGGTCAATACACAATTTATTGCTCTACTGGGTTGGAAATAAAAAAAAAATAACAAGATTCTCAAACGAGTGAATCCAATATTCGCTAAGAGTAATATTTCGAATAGATTTTTGACTAGCATTTATATTTCCGTGTTCTCGGAACTTGATGATTCACGTGCTGTAATGGTTGATACAAAATATCGTCTTGAAGATACCATGACTAATGTTGCAAATTAATATGGAAACAAAGATGGTACATGTGACAATGCGCTAATGTTTTTAATTTTGCCAACTTTGTGTCACAAAGTTTACATTACAATGACTAGTGAGAAAACGAACACTTTGTAGCGAGTGACAAATGGTCTGTTATTGAACTTTGCACAGCAATTGATGAAGATATTTTCTTTATGCGTGTGAAAGATGGTCTTGCAGTGTATACGAAACAAATTGAACGATCTGATCTGAGAATTTATTTCGGCAAATGTCCGAATGATTCATTTTGAACTGCGTAACGCCAATCAAACGTAGGCTAACTTAGAAATTCACTTTATAACATCAGTTATTTAGACTTGTTTGCTTCAGCATTTCCATAATTAGATACGATCTTGAACTATAAACATGGTATCAGTGCACTGGTGTTTTTCAAGACCGCTAGTCTGCGTAGGAAGGTAAAGCCAGACTGACGTCACCGCCTTTCACTGCACCGATGCCTATTTGAGGACTGCCTTTGAGGAACTTGCAAACCAGTGGGGGTGGTGTACAAAGGTTATTATTATAAATGTTGACAAACACGTTCAATTACTATCTTTGAAGGCAAAGGTCGCTATGTGATGTTCAGAACATTCTACTAGTAAAGATAACGGCACTAATGAACTCTAAATATCCTTGGTGTATCATGGGAAATTATTACAATAATTTGAAGGACATCAGCTGAAACCTCACACCTCCATTTAATATAAAGTTATCATTAAATTCAAGAGCTGTTGGTAAATACTAATGAATACGATAAAGAAGATAGTTGATGAGTTTATGATTAAAATTGATGCAAGATTACCTCAC